CGAGAATCAATTCATCGATCTTATTGAATTGTATGGATTTTGGAGGGTTTTATTGAAAAATGGGTGAAGAGGTAGAGAGAGAGGTTGAGGAGTAGTTGGAAGATAGTGAAGGGTTTTTTAGTTACTTTTATTCCTTTTAGATGAGAGATAAAACGTCGTCTGTTAAAACACCGTGGCGGTAGTTTAGCCTCATTGTAGAAAATTAAAAGAGAAAAGGTGGATTGCAATTTAAGAGAATCTGTATGTGGTACATAATTGCTTTAATTAATTTAATTATTTATTTGTGCTAATGAATTAATTACATGTAGAATGAAATTAATATGTGTAGGCGGCCAAATTAAATTCTTGTTCAAAGTCAATTTGGCTGTTTTGTTAAGAAATTATACTACATTAAGACTTTGTATTTTGTTACGTTTAAGTTGTAGAATTGAATCTTAGAAATTTATTATCCTAAAAATGTTATTCACAATTCTTAAAAAATATTCTTTTCTCAAGTTATTTTACTTAAATAAACGAGAAGAAAACCTACATAGAAATCCACCTAAAAATTTTATTTTTTCAATCATGGAACAATTTTATCAATTAAAAATATAAAAAGAACAAAATCAGAAGTTTTAACAATGCTTGATTTTCAACAGAAAACATCATCCTTTAAAAACAATTTAAAGATAATTAAATTATGAATTATTCTAGATAGAATAACTAAATAAATTTTAATTTCAAAAATATCATTTAAATCCCAAAATTCTAAATTTCATTTAATTTTTTTGTTTATTTTCCCGAAATATTTTAATTTTCCAAATTCTCCAACACTTTATTAATAAAAACATTTTGTGGATTTTCTTTTTCCCATTTTTCATGCAAATAGATAAAAGCTTTTTCCACAGTTTTCATATAATTATCATTCTCCAAAATTCTTTCCAATCCAATTCTTTAAAGTTTTTTAACATCAAATTTCTCTTCATAATAAATAATTATTTTAACTAAAATATTTTTATTTAAAATTTCTTTATTATTTTCTGTTTGAGAACGGCGTGGAGAGACTTGTGAAGAAGTATTTCCTTTCAAATAAGTCCCCATTCTGTTAAACAAATTTTTAAAATATTCTTTAGATTTATTTCCAATTTTAATTGTCTCAAGTTCGGGGTGATCAATATTCAAAGCTCTGGCAAAATAAAATTGATTTTCATTATAGGGAATACAAATAATTCCAACATTGAAGGCTAACGCTTCGATTACTTGATAATTATTGCAAGTAGAAATTAAAAGTTTTGTGTTACCTTTTACTAGAAAATATTGACAAAATATTAATGAAAATTTAGAATTAAATTAGGATAAATTTGGAGGGAGGTGGGGGAGGAGTGTTGAATATAAATAAAACAGTTAAGAATGTTAATGGAATGACTAATCCTCTGACGATATAGTTTGAGTCAAATCTTCATATCTAAAAATAATATTAATTGTTTGGATTATGTTACAATTAGCGAGATTTTATTTTCAATTAGTCTAAAATTTGTTAGTTAAGACTTTTAAAAGTTTTACTAATAATAAAATAAATTTAGACAAACCCAATTCCTCTTGAATATTTGGAATATCTTTAAATGTCTCACTCCCAATTTTGTTAATTTTCCAATTAATTAATTGGTCTTTATTACAGTCATACAAAAATGAAAATTTGTCTTTAAACGATCTTAACACTTCTCGAAGAGAATTCCAAACTTCCAATCCTCTAAGATCGTTAAATAATTTACACGTTTCTTTACTTATTATTATTTGTTCTTTTTCTTTTTTTAATTTCTAAATTTAATTAAATTTAATTAAAAAATAATTTAAAATAACCAATTTATTTTTTATTTCTTTTAATTCATTTAAATGAATTCCTCCAACATAAAATAAATTTTCTGGTTTAGAATCTCCTAAAGGAAAGTCTGTCAATTCATCATTATTCAAAAATATTGCTTTAATGTTTGAATAAAGAATTTTTAATGATGGAGTATTCTCGTCTATTTTAGCCATTGAGAAACGAAATTTGAAATAGCTATCCTATTATTAAAGTAAATTTTTTAAAGTATAGATTAAATTTCAAATTAAAATTTGTTTTATCTAACTTAATGGGGCTAAATGGGGCTAATTCGTTTAAAAATATTTTTAAACATTGTTTAAGCCTGGTTTTGTATCGCGCGTTTCCTTTTAAAAAATGAAATGTTTGGTATGAAAATTGTGTTTAATTAGGAACTAAGTTATATTCAATAGAAGTTCTTAGTTAAGTTTTCAGTTTAAAACCTAGTTATGATTCTAAAAGTAGTCTACTCTAGTATATAAATAAGTTAAGATAGCTAGGTAATTTTTTAATTTCAATTTCATTTTTGTAATTCTCTTAAATAGTAATAGAAATTACCGAATTTGGATTATAAAATTATTAATTAATTAAATAATATTAAAATATTGATAACCATTTTCTCATGAAGAGTTTCGTATAATTCTTCGTTCTTTTCATGATTATCAATTCCTTTTTGTTTTTGTTTATGTTCCAAAATTTCTTTCAATTTACTTTTACCAAGATTAGCTAAACAAAATTTAAATTTAAAAAAATTCAAAAAATACCTGGAATATTTTTTGGAAACTCCTTCCCAGCATATTTAAATTGATAAGTCTTTAAAGGAGTATTATTTATACAAAAAACATTTTTAATTCCAGCAGCATGGAAAATAAAAAGAGCTCCAATATTATTTGAATCAAATAACCCCAAATTAAAATTTTTTGAACGATTAATAATATCTCTTCCATTCCAAAATATTTCTAAATTAAAAAAAATTTTTTTAAGAGAAAATACTTTCTACAACCTTTAAATATATCAAAAGACTCTCTTTCAATTTGATTTTTAATTTTTTCTTCCTGAATATTCCCCCCACCTAAATAATATTTTGAAAATTCATAATTAGAAAAATCTTTTTTTAAATCAGGCGAAAGATTAAAAATTTCGAAAGTATTTTTCCTTTCATTTATTTCAATCGAATTTTTGACCAAAATTGAAAAATTTTCATTTTCAAATTTAAAGTCATCCTCTTTTGTATTTACAATTAAATAATGCTAAAAAATATTTAAAAATTAATATGAAGTTGGATTAAGGATAATCGACAAGTAATTACTAGAATCATTTTTAGTTTAAAAATTGCCGAAAAATTTTGTTTAATATGTATTTTAAAAGTTTTCCCAAACTAAATAAAAAAATTTGAATAAATAATCCCGAAAATTGATAGGAGATTATTCAATCTTAACAAAAAGTTGGATTTTTAAAGTAAACATTTATTAGTGCCAGAGTTATTTTAAACTAAAAATTATTTTTTTTTTCAAAAATTATAGGCTCCTAAATAACGTTTAACGATCATTATCAATAATTGTTTTAGAACTAAAAACATTATTTTAATTAAAATATCAACCAAAAGATATTTAAATTTTACTTACAACATAAAAATGTTTTGTTAATAAATTTGCAAAAATTGTATTCATTTTAAAATTATTAGAATCAAAATTCGTTGAAATAACCAATGCCCGTTTAGTTATTTTATTTTTTTCAGAATTATTTATTTTTTTAAACAGAGGTTCTTCTTCTACTAAATCATTTTCTTCAACAATAGCTTCCAATTTTCTTTTAAATGTTCCATTTGCAATTGAAATAATTGAAAGAAAAATTAAAATAAAATTAAAAAACATTTTAATTAAAAGAAAATATTTTTTAATCTGAAAATTAAATCCCTTTATAGTAAATACAAAGGTAACAAACTGAGGGGAACTTTTATCATCATTTCGGTTTTATTTTAAAGTCATGGAAAATTTCCGGTCTTGGGCATCTTAAACTATTATATAATAATTAGGAGATAATATTTGTTTTTCATAATAAGAATTTTCATTTTCTAAATTTTAAATAAATTTTTGTAACCTAATAATTCTTAGTTCTATCGAAACAATAGTATGTTTCCAGAGAAAGTTAATATTATTATTACAAAATTTTATTTTAACACTAAAATATTTTTTAAATTAATTTTAAAATATTGGGGATATTAGCTGTTTATATAGACAGACTTTTATTTAAAAAATATTTATATTAAAGTGCAAGTTATTTCATAAAGGAAATCAAAGTGCCAATAAACAATTTCTCTTTTAAAAATACCGCTAATCAATCTTATTAATAAAAATGTCTATTCACGTGAAATAATTAATTAATTTGTCTAAAAATACATATTTAAATAAATTATTTTAAAAAATATTTTTTGAAGAAATACTTGCTTATTTTAAGAAAAGGTCAATCTAACAATGATTTATTATAACAATTCGTCAAAGTCAAAGTATGAATTATTTGCAAATACTCCCCAGATATTTTCTTTGAACTAGAAACTTGAAAAGTTTAAGAAGTGCCGTTTTATGGAGGAAAGAAAATCTCTGACATAAATTCCAAATTATTTCTTAAATTAATTATTAATTTAATTTTTTCTTAAAATCTATTTACAACAAAAATAACATTTAACATTTTGTCGGTCCAAATATTTTTAAAAGAATTAATCATAAAAAATATTTGCCCTTTTAAAGTTCAAAATATGTATATTTAAATATAAAGTGTAGGAACGATTACTACATAAGAGATGATTAAGAATCTCGTAGGAGTGATATTTTTATTCAACATTTATTTTTTGAATAAAAAATAAAAAGGAAAAAAAACCCCGTTTATAAAATGTTCAAAATTTCTTTTAAAAAATCATTTTATAAAACAAATTATTTTTAAATAATTATTTTTGTAAAAATATTCCTAACCCTTGCATTATTTTGTTTTATTATTTGCCTAAAATTCCAATTAAATTTCTATCTATAATTTATTTTTAAGCAAAATAAATTTTGGTATCATAGTATTAAATTTGACACTATTTTTATAGAAAGCTGCATATTACTTTAAATTTATAATTATTTAAAAATAATTTATTTATTTATTAGATTAAAATAAAATAATGAATAAAATATGCTTAGTATCTATTTTTTTAATTTTTATTAATAACTCTTTTCGTTGTACTCTTTGTCTTTCGTTTGAATATAATAAAATTGAAACAAAAGCTGACGAAAATACTGAAGAAGGCAAAAATGTTAACAATAATTCTACTGTACAGTTAATTAAATATTTTTTAAATTAAAAATAAATTTTAATTTTATAGATGTTATAATGGTGGAGGTTTAGGAATGGCAAGTGGGAAAATAGCTAGAGAGTGTAGTACCGTTTGTCTTAATTTTACTGCTTCTCTAAATCATACAGGTATTTATTTTAAAATAGATTTTAATTAAAATTTTTATTTCTAAATTTTGTAGAAAGTAATAATACTTTAATTAAAACATTACATACTGGAAACAATAAAGATGTTGTTTATGGTTGTAGTATTGGATATATTTGCGTAATAAATATTTAAAATTTATTTAAAATAATTTTAAATTAATTTTTAAGCCATTCAAAAATGCTTGTGGTAAAACGACATATAAAGGTGAATGGGGGGAAGTATGTTGCTGCAATACAAATCTGTGTAATGGTGCTCAATCAAAAACTTCCTTATCCTCTTATTTTCTCATTGCGTTTATTCTTTTACCTTTTTTAATTGGTCCATTAATGAATAAATATCTATGTTAGTAATCCTCTATAAATACATATCTCCTTGCCTAAACTTCTATATATTCTCTAATTATTTTTCTTAATTTGTCAATTTTTAATCAGATATCTGAATGTGAAATAGAAAAAATATTTACTTAAATTAATTTTTATTTTTAAATTTGTGATAAATTCTTTAACAAAATTTTGTTTTATATTAAGTATAATCTAAGAAATTACCTTAATAGTTAAATAATTTATTAGGGTTTAGTCGATTGTTGAAAAGGGGGAGAGATAATACATACCGTATTTACTCTATTAGAGCCCCATGGGGCTCTATTTTTCAACCTTCCTCCAAACGGGGGCTATATTAAGGAGGGGGCTCTAATAGAGACGGGGGCTGTATTTTTCAACCATCCTAGAAACGGGGGCTTTATTAAGGAGGGGGGCTCTAATTGAGAGGGGGGCTATAATAGAGGAAATACGGTATATTGGCTACAATATCGTTTTTGGGGGTAAAAATTAATCCTTCAATTTTTTAATAAAAATCAGAGACAAAATACGGAGTTAAAGGAATGGTTTAAAATATTCCAACAATTGATTTTACAATAATGTCAACCAATTTATTAATTTATTTATGGCAATAATAGTAACACAAATTCTCTTATATTATTCAAAAAGATAATAATAAATTATTGTTTTGTTTATTGTCTGAAATATTTTACTTGATTATTTTTGCAAAAAAATTAAATAATTTTATTTGATAGGAAAAAAAATAAAGAAAAATAAAATTTAAAGTAAAAAGGAAAATTAAAGCATTAAAAATCAAAAATTTGGTTGAATAAAAGGAAAATTACAATGAGATAGAACAGAAAAATAAACCCTGAAATAAAATTTTATCGTTATTTAAATAAAGTATTTCTTCGAAAATAACCCTACGGGCTAATATTTTAATTCCAATCATTCCGATTTCTGTCAGGATCCTTGGAATTTTTAAGACAGGAGGATTTGTTTAAAATTCAGGTATTCGAATGTCAAAATTAATTTTGAGAAGGCTGGGGGAAATACTTTATTCCTTCGATATCACAAAAAGAGAAAAAAAGGTTAAGTAAAAATATTTAAAATAATCACAGGATTTTAAAAAATAAAATGAGATAAAAAATATTTAAATCATTTAAATATTAACCAAGCAAAACATTTAAAGCAAATCCTTGTTCACATTTCCCCCCTCCATTCCAAAAATCAAAAATATTTTTTATTTTTAATTCTTTTTTGTGTATATGTGCCATTTTACAAAGATTACAGAGAGGATTAGAAATATCGTTGGAAAATTCTGTTTTTTTATATTTTTTTGTCCAATTAAAATAACTGGAAAAGAAATTTTTTAAAATTAATTTTTAATTTAATTTCCCCTTTCACCTTTTATATTGTTTTTTGTCTGCTGATAATTTTTCTAAAAAGGAGACTAATTCTTTCGGACTTTTAAAATCATCTGCTGCAATAAACGAATCCTCAGGAATATTTAATCCTTTAAATATTTTTCTCGACAAAACTACAGGCACAATTAACTTTTTAAGTTTCCAGAATTTTTCTGTTACATAATTAACACAAACAGAATTCTCAAAGGCAAAATAAAAATGATGAGAATCTTAAAAATAAAATTTTGTAAAATTTAATTTAATGTAAATTTAAAAAACATTTAAAGTTTAAAATTGGGTTTGGACACTAGCGGTTATTAAACAGTACCTATGGTTTTCGGTATTGAGTTTTAGCTAAATACCGGTTTTATTTTGGGGGAATATTTTAAAAAATAATTATAAAAAATTTTTCTGTTTTTAAAATTTCATAAAAACGATTAATTTTTGGTAAGAAATATCAAAATTGTTGGTCCTAAAACAAGTCGTGAACAGCCCTAGTTTTTAGAAGTTTTTGTAAAGTTTTGAAACAAGGTCAGAAGTTGTTAAAATTAAATTTGAATTCAAAAACTTGCTAATCTTTTTATTGTTTCCCAAATTTAATAAAATATTTATTTAACATTTACCAATTAATTTATCAGCACATTCTTCATTACAAACTCGTTTTCCATCTAAACAAGTGCCAATTTGTGTAATTTGTGTTAGATTCTTTAATTTATTAACATATAATTCCCGAAGCGATTTTGTGTTACAATTCGAGACAAATTGTAAAGCAAGTTTATCTTTTGCTTTAATTTTCTTATCAATCTTGAAAAAAAATGTATTTATTTTCAGTTATTTTCAGTCACCTCATTTTCAGTCCAAATCTGATCATCAGTGACTAACCCATTTTCTAAATCTTTTTTAGTATATTCTTCAAACATATCATATGGATAATAAACATCACTATCTGCTCTATAAGTCATTGTAATATTAAAAAAATCTGGAGGAACATCCCTTCCTAGTCCCCAAGTATGAGGCGGAGATTCAAGAATAAAAAATGTGTAGAGTTGTTGAGGTGTTCGATGCTCTGGCATTTTATCAAGATTATCACGAATGTGGAAAACTAATAGTGAAGCTTGTTGTTCTCTGAAAGAGTTTTTTTTAATTTAAAAGTTTTTAATAGTAAAGGAAGGAATTAGCCCTAAATTATAGGAATGCTCGGATGTAAGGTTGTTGGTCCTTGGATAATTTTAAAGTAAGTTCATTTTTTAGTAAATTTAAAAGAAAAAGATACAGACAAACAAACAACTCTACTTGGATGGTATTCCTTTGGGGAATAATACTTACATAAAAATTTTTCTATTAAGATAGTCCAAATATTTTAAAGAACAAGAGAAATCTTAACCTATTTATCTGACAAGTGTGGGATTACCAAAAGAGTTTCGGACTTTTAAAAATTGAAAGCTAAATTTTAATCCAGGATAAGTGAATAATTTTAAAAAATCCCAAGTTTAAAAGAAAAACATACAAAGTACGATTATCTGTATAAATGCATTTATAAGAACATTGTTTATTATTGTTATATTTAATTAAACTTTCTGATAAAGAAGCACCAAACATTTTATTCCACATAAGAATAGTTGGGGGAGGCCATTTAACAGGGACACTCTATAAAAATATTTTTTCTTCAATTCTAAATTATCTTTTTACCATTCTTTTAAGCCATCCAGGTAATTTATCATCACCATCTTTTGCTGGAAATATTATTTGGTTGAAAACAAATATATACAAAAAATAAAGAAAAGTTGAAAGGAAAATAAGAATAGAGAAAATAAATTTACTTTTTGAGATAATAGTATTTTCTATCATTTTAAAAAAACCTGAAAAAGAAAGCTAGTAATTAGAGATGTTGACAGTTTATTAACTGAACTAGAGGTCGGTAAAATCACAATTCAGGATCATGTACCACGACGAAATTTCGAACAGGACAGGATACTGCAGGATTAATCCTAAAAATCCTGACAATCCTGACAATCCTGAAAAAAGGCAGGATTTCGGACAGGATCCTGAAAATCCTCTGCAGGGTCCTGTCCTGCGCCGCCCTCTAAACAGAACTGAAACCGAAAATCGGTGAGTATTTGAATTTATGTACATTTCGCCAAAATATTTTTCTTTTATTATTTCGTACCCCGGATATTTCAAAAACAATTTTTTAGAACCAAAAATCACAAACTTGAAAATTATTAAGATATTAAAGTTAGTGTTTTTGATTTACTAGTATTTAGAATTTTATTATTCAGAAAAAGAGAGATTTTTAATTTTGATAGCAAAAAAGTAAAGTAAATGGCTAGTCGTAATATCTGACTAATAAAATATTTTAATTAAAATTTTCTGTATTTTAATGATTAAACATAAATAATTTTAAATAATTATTCTACGGAGTGCAGAGTAAATTCGTTGACCGTATTTTGCCATAACTTTTCTAAACACAGTTTTTTATCCGATTCAGAGCTATTTAGCTAGTTAATATACGTTTGGCTCCCCCACCTGTCTGCAAAGAGAAACCGCATTTCTCATTCCTTTCTTTGCATTTTTTGCGTTTACACGTTAAATTTAAATAAAACTAAAATAATTTAAAATATATTAAATTCTAGTAAAAACAATTACAAATTTTGAATAACTTTTTCCAGTTTATTTGCTTTATTTTGTCTTTTTCTATTTATTTATCTTATTTCGTATTCATTAACTAAAAAGGAGTCTATGTACAAAAAAAAAACAAGTAAAATACATAATTGTATAAGTTAAATAGAAGAAAAAACTAAAAAATTAAAGACAAACAATAAGACTAGAAATATGTTCTTTAAAAATAAAAGAAAAAATCACAAATAAATAAGTACAACTGTCACAATAAAAACTTAAGTTGCCTATTTATAAAAATAGGAAATAAATTATGGTTTGCAATAACCTCCATATTCTAAAACCAAAAAACACAAAATGTTGATTTATTTTACGGGAAATTGTTTAACAGAATAAATGGATAGAGGATAAAATTAATTGTTATTAATATAAATTGCAAAAATTGTTTTTAATCGAAAAAAAATAAATGATTTTTATTGAAATTTAATAAAAGTTATGGCAAAAACAAAGCGTGCGACGAATTTGCCCCACACTTTATATTTAAATTGGAGATTATGTAGAAATGAGTGGGGGGAATTGAAGTTTGATAAAAATTTAAAAAATTTAAAATAACCGATTGAATAAAAATTAGAGAGAAGATTATATTAAAAAATGAAACAAATATACACAGATATAAAATTTACAATTTAATTTAAAATAAATAAATTTATTTTTGGATAAATTTGAGTTTGATTTTATAAATGAAATTAATTATACACCTGCTAAATTAAAAAAATATATTTATTAATTTAAATTTTTTAATTAAACTAAAATTTAAATTTAAAAAAAATTTGCAAAAAATCACAAAGATAAATTAAAGATTTTGTTTTTAAAAAAATTACAAATAAAAGTTATATTTTAAAAATTTCTTGAGGTAAAAAATAAACTTTGGATTTAAAAAATATTTTTTAAATATTTGTGTACCTTTTTATACATAAATGTACAAAATTTAAAAAAAATAAAAGAATAAAATTTGTTGTCAAAAAATATTCTTTATTTAATCAATTATTTTTTAATCTTATTGTCAAATAAAAAAAGAAATTAAAAATGGGTGGAAAGTATTTTAAAAAAATTTTTTATTTTAAATTATTAATAAAATAAATTTAAAAAAATATTTTAAATCAATACATATCTAAATAGGTATATTTTACACATAAAAAAATAATAGAAAAAAAAAGATAAAAAAGAAAATAAAATAAATTTTTCTAAACTATTCATACATAAATAGTATTTAGTATTACGTGTAAAAAATACATATTTTATAGCTGATTGAATGGCTCCACAATGCTTCGCCATTCGAAAAAGACGTTTTAAAAACATTTTTCAAATGATAAAAGTATATATCATAATCAGTTGAAAAAAGGGCAAAACATCCGATCAAAAATATTTGTACTAGGCAAATAGCAGTCCTCTTACGTGGTAAATAAAGCAGAAAATAGAACTGTTGACTCGAATTGAAAACAGGGTTAACTCAAAACCGGAAAAACTGAAATTTCCGTTTTGAATCCTTCCCTGTCGAATATTCCAATCCAACAACTTAACTTGCCAAATAACCTCCAAATATACCGTTCAAGTATTTTCCTCGAATGTTTTACTTTTTTGATCTGATTATGATTAATGCTTTTATTCTTTTCATAAATATTAATTTATTGTCAAAAGGTTCATTGTAGAAAAGTGCATTGTGAAATGTTGAGAGAATAAACATTTCCAAAATATAAAAATTTAAAAAATTTTATGTATTAAAATTTGATAAGAAAAAATAAAAGAAAAAAACAAAAAAGAAAAAAGGAAGGTAAAGTTAAAAAAAATTTTTTTTATATTGTAAACTCTGATCGATAGAATCTGGCTCTAATAAATGCCTCGAACGTTAACTCGAATCGAGAATGTAAAAATCAACAAAATATTTACATGATTCCTAGAAATTACTAACTTTAAAATAAAAAAAAAGATTAAAATATCAGACGTTAAAAATAAGGGAAGAAATTCTTTTTCAATTGATGACTAAAAGCAAATAGTCTTTTGTTTTGTGGAAATATTTTTAAAAAATAAAAATAATTTAAGAAAACTTTATTTAAACAATTTTAATTAGAGAAAAGAGAGTAATTTTAAAAATAAATTTAAATTATACCGTATTTCCTAAAATAAAGCCCCATGGCAAATTAGAGCCCCACCCTAAAATAGAGCCTTTGGAAGATAGTTGAAATATAGAGCCCCGTGGGGCTTTATTTTAGGAAATACGGTATATTTAAAAATAATTTTATTCAAAATTTTCAAAAAAATATTGAAAAAATGCTTAAATCAATGTTTTACATATTTATTTGTGAAGGAAACGTGGAATGATGTAAATAATAACTAAAACAATCGTCCATAAATTATTGATTTAAAATTGTAAATTTATCTAAAAAAATATTAAAAATTATTTAAATAATATATTTATTTATTAAATTTATAAAAAAAAAGTTATAATCTCCTTTATTAAATAAAAAATAAATTTTTTATTCAAAATTAATTCAAAAATTGGTAATTTTTAAGAAAATTTTTAAAGAATTTCTTCACATTCTTATATTTGCTCTAGCCTTGTCCAAAATTTCTTTTTTAATTTTTGGATAAGTCGGATAACGTTTTAATACTGCATGACAGACCTAAAAAATTAAAATATTCTCTTAATTTGTTTAAGAATTATTTTACTTCTATACATTCAATCAGTCTTCGACATTTGAAGTAATTATATGCAAGTTTGTAACCTTAAAATATGTATTTTTTTAATTTTTGTCTTTCTGAAAGTATTTAATTATTTACCAATTCCAGGGTTACGCCTTTTACAAACATTCCAAGCAGCCTCATAATTAGCCGCGGCATCAAAATATTTTTGTTCTTTTTCACAAATAAATCCCATATATTCATAAGCTTTACTACAACTTGAATTATGTTGTAAAACAGTTCTGAGTACATTACTTGCTTGTTCATTCTTTCCTTGATTTATATAAATATCAATTAATAGAAGCCAGCCTTTAAAAAATAATTATTTATTTAAATTTAATTTAAAAATATTTTCTACATTGCTGTAAATAATCAGCTTCTTCCAAACTCCAAGCATGGGTTAAAACTCTTTTTAATTGTAATTTAGCTTTTTGTGTTTGTTTCATCATTAACATAGCTCTAGCTGATCCAAGGATTGCACCGGCACTAACATTTGCCTCACTTTCCTTTGATGAAAAAAAGTATTTTAACCTTCTTTTAAAATTTACTTGTGTTCCATCAGTTTTGGACATTTCCAAAAAATTATTTAAAGCTCTCTGTATATTCGATCTATTTGGACTAGCCAAAAGAATAAAATTCTCAATAAGTTTATATCTTCTATCCAACATAGATTTATGTCTCAATTCGTGGAAAAACCGGTCTGCTGCCCTATAAGATTCATTAGCTTCATTAGCCTCTTCCACAGTTAATTGATGCTCATTATTTTCTGTTCCCATAATTTCATTATCCGGATTTAAACAAATTTCAATCATATTATACAATGCTCTCTCTCCCCATTCCAAATCACGACGGGCCCTGTTAAATGCTTGAAGTGCTGAATTTGGTTCTCCTGTATACCTAGAATTATTTAAAATTATTCTCTAAATTTTTTTAGAAAAATACCATTCAATAAGGCCTTTACAAAAATTAAAGCCAGCATCCACAGTAGCTCTAGGATTGCTTTCTAAAGCATTTCTCAACATTTTTTCACCCAATTCAATATTTCCCCGACGCCAACATAATTCAATATAACGGGCTAAGGCATGATAATGACCTGAAAATAAATTTTTGAAAATATTTCTAAAAATTTCACTCACTCGGATTTCTTTCCAATAATTGTGCAAAGTGTTTCATAGCCTCTTCTCCCTCATTTTTCTGATACATTAAATCAGCCAATAACTATAAAAATAAATATTTAATTTTTAAGTTTATTAAAAGAAAAATATTTTTTTATATTACAATTGCAATTTGTTGCAAATTTATTTTATTCCAATGGGAGACTTGAAGTTGCATTTTTGTATAGAAATTAGTACAAGAAAGTGAATTTATTTATTATTTTTATTTCTTAAAGTTGAAAAGTATTTAGGAAAAGAAAAAAATGTTGGAAATTTGGAAACGTGTCAGGCTTTTGAAATTATTGAGAGAGGGTAGTTATTTCTTTAATCTCACTAGAAGGAGTAATTAATCGAGGGGAGGGTAATTATTTGGATATATAGAAAATAAAATTAATGCTATCTTGTAGCAAATTTCAAGGGCTTTCAAATAAGCTCAAAATAAAATTTTTATTTCATTTGTAAGGGGTCGAAAATATTTTTTAAAGACGTCTACCCCCTGTTTTCCGTTGATTTTCGGGTTTCAATATCTCGATAATGGAAATACATCAGAACTTCATTTCTTTTGTATTTCTTATCTATATTGATAGATATGTTCACAAAAATTTTTGTGGATTTTTCCCACCATTAAAAACCTATAAAACAAGGGTGGCTATATACTTTTGGAACGCATTAATTTTGGGTAAAGTCAAATATCCCCTAGTTTCTATTCATATAGTTTCATAACGCATAAAATAACATTATCAGATCCTTAAAATGGGTCTAAAAAATATTTCAAATTAATCATAACCCACTTAAAAATTTAATTAGGTGGAGATTTAGGAAAAAATTGGGTGGCTATATACTTTTGGAACGGAGTGTATGTCAAAAAATATTTTTTTAATGAGAATTTAATATGCATATCCTCTCTCTCTCTCCTTTTTCTTCAAAAAAATACATTTATATGGATTCCTTGCTGAATCTTCATTTGTTTAAAAACGAAAATTATAAAATTAATTTATTAAATTGAGGAAAAGGAAACTCGTCATTTACAGAAATCCGAAAGGGATTAATTTGACAAATGAAAATTGAAAAAGAAAATAATAAAAAAATATTAGAGGGATATTAATAAATCCTTTTCAACTAAAGAATGGATAATAAATATTTTTTTAAAAATAAATTGATATCATTTAAAATAGAGAATTAAATTCTCCATAAAATAAAATAAAAAATAAATTTTTTTTTGTTAAATTAATAAAAAGTTTTAGTTGGAAAATTAAAAAATTTTTAGTAATTTTTTGTTAGTTTTTTGATTATTTATTTAAAAATAATATTTACTATTTTATAACAATTTTAATTTTATATTAAAAAAAATTTAAAAATCTTTTTATAAAAAGTTTAATATTAAGAAAGTTAAATAAATCTGAGAATTAGTAGCTAATAAATACGTAGCCTGAGAAAAATGTTAAGAAAAATTCCAAAAATATTTTAAGAAGATAAAGGAAGTAAATAATTAAAAATACATTTATTTTTATCCTTAATCGACGTCACATTTTTTGTCAGAAAAAATACAAAAATTAAATATTATTTTTAGATTTTCTTTTTTTTAATTTATAATTACGCAATTTTTGAGCTCTTTTAGTTAATAACCTTTTCTGTAAATTTTAAATATTATTTTTTATAAAATCATTGGAATGTGTTGAAAAAATAGGAAAGGATAATTATTCATTTTGTGATATTTTTGGGTTTGTAGAAAAAAAATAGAATTATTTATTTTTAAAGCATATATTTTTGTGTTTTTTGTTATCAAAATTAGAAAAATAAAATGAAAAATAAATATTTTGTTTTATTTTTAGTAGTTTTTAATAAACCACTCCTTTATAATAAAAGAATAATATGTTTAATGAATATATAAATTAATTATATTTAAAGAAAGATTTTAGGAAATAATTTTTGATCAAAACATTTTTCTAAAAATAAATTAATTTATTTAAAGAAAATGAAAAAAAAATTATAAAATAAAGATTAAAGAGAAAATAAATTACAAAATATTTTAGAATCCATTAGAAGATATAAATTAATTTTTCTATTTTAAATATTGCAAGTGTTTTAATCCCATAAAAATTAATTTTTAAAAAATTAAAAATGTTACGAGAAAATAATATTCCCTCCCTTTACATCATTTCCGTTCAATAAAAATTAAAAATCCTCCCACATTTTAATTTTAAATATTAATAATTTACCAAAGTAGCATCATTATTATTTGGATCAAAATTCAAAACTTGTTGACATTGTTGATCACAAAAATGTAATTTTCCAAGAGAGGCATAAATTCCAGCAAGGGATAAATGACTCTAAATAAATAAATTTAAAAAAGAAATATTTATTTATATTTATTTATTACTTTAGTGTCACGTTCATTATGTCCAATTGCTTCTTTAAATAATTCAATTGCTTTATTCCAATCACGACTATTTGCGTATAATTCAGCAAGTTGTTGACAAATTCTTGAAAAAAATAAGTGATAAAATAAATAAAAATAGGTAAAATTATTGGGGTTTTTAAAAGTATTATTATCGGCATCAGATGCCGGGGAGGGGGGCGACGTAAAGGTCAGGAACCTTATTAACCCTTTATACAGGGTGTTTCAGCTGAAAAGCGCTATTTGAAAAATTAATAAACTTTTACTGCGTGGACAGATTTAAATTAAATTTTGTATTTTGCATCTATATTTTATGGCAATTTTTTTGACATAAAAATTATGTCGAAATTCGAACCCTAACCCGAGATAATTTCGTACTCTATCGTTCTGTTTTTCCCTTTTTCCGCACATGCATTCTTACTCCCTTTTGTTTGTTACAAGCGGCGATAGACACTAGAGTAAACACTAGGCGATAGACACTACATTTTCAATACAGTATCTACTCTTCGCCATACGCAGGAAAATAAATGCACTAAGATAGCGCGCAATGAAAAGAGAAAGAAAAGAGAACGGTAGAGTACGAAATTAAAACGAAATTGAAATACGGGGTTAGGGTTCGAATTTCGACATAATTTTTATGTCAAAAAAAATGCCATAAAATATAGATGCAAAATACCAAATTTCATTCAAATCTGTCCATGGTGTAAAAAGTTATGAATTTTTCAAATAGCGCTTTTCAGCTGAAACACCCTGTATTTTAAAAACAAACAAAGCAGCCAATTTCTTCTCTTCAGCAATATTCAAACCTTCTCTACCACCGTTTCCAACAATTCTTAATTGGAGTTGGCGTGCTTTTAATAAATCCCGGCATGCCTGATCCCATTCACTCGTTTCCATGTGTAGACGTGAAATAAGCATCCAATAAGAAACGTGTTCTCGAATTGTTTGAATATCTTATATTTAATATAAAAATATTTTTAGTATACAGAAAAAATTCTTTTAGAACAATTCAATGAGTTTTTGACTTAAATCTTGACTAAAAAGTTTTCTCATGGTTTTATATTTTTGGTCTTTGCCAGGAGTTTTAAGAATTTACCAACCACTTGGATCAGTTTCTGCATCAAGTACTTCTTTTAAAACACGTTTACATTTATCAAAATTTCCCATTTGAAATAGCTGCTCAGCGAAACGAATTCGTAAAATCTTTTGCCTTCCACTACTTTTCATTGCTGTTTCATAGAAAGTAATTGCCTAAAAATTAAAAGAAAAAGTAGGTATTTTACTATAATCCCTTAATTTTGCTTCTCCTAATATCTATTTTAATTTCACCTTATTGTAAAGATGACATTTTACATAAGCATTTCCTATTTTCTCAGCTAGCTGATAATCTTTTGGCGCTCGACGCATTGCTGTCTCATAGGCGTCAATAGCAAGTTCAGGCTCTTGAATTGAAATGTAAGCATCTCCTTTGAATAAAATGTTTTTAAATAATTCCACCTTTTATTTAATCTACCAAGTAATTCGTAAATTTGAGGACTAGTATCTTGCTCAAGTAAATCTCTGTAACAAAGAGCAAAACGGTGTTTATCATGTTTTTCTTCCAAATAAATCTGTGCCATTTTTATACGGGCAGCACGATAATTTGGTTGATCAGGCTTGACTGCTTGTAAAACTTTTATAGCCCCATCAACATTTCCTCTCTGTAATCTAAGTTGAGCATTCATTAAAACGAGTTGTTGTTCTTCTAAAGGTTTGCCTTTATAACGCTCAGCTGCTTCTAACATACAAGAATCTGCTTCTTCCTTAATTATGTATTTTAAAGCTTTATTACTAGTTTTTTTCAACGAAATATTAAAATTATATTTATTTTTACTAACAATTCTATTAGCAGTTTGTAGTGAATCTATTAATTCGAGAGTAATTGCAATCCTTTAAGCTTCAGCTAATTCAAGTTCTGATTCTTCTTAAGATAATATATAATTAGATAATTCAATAATAATTTTGAAATTTTTCGTGAGAAATAAATTTTGTTTCTCTTATAACTTCTTTTTATTTTACTCTTCTTCAAATTCAAGTCCAAGCCAATTCAAATAAATATTTATTTCGAAGAGGCAATACAATTCAAACCAATAAATTAAATAAATAATCAAAAGGGGGGAATAGCCACAACAAGAAAAATAACAAATGAACGAATTTGGGGAGAGAGAATTTTCTTTTATAGGAACATAAAATGGGATAAAATGTCATTTATTTATTTAAATTAAAGTCATTTGAGTCTGAGGTTCACCACATCTCCACCTTCTAAAAAGACGAGTCCCTCGGCTTTGAATCGGCTGCGAAAGGGTGTGGTTCATAGACGGTCTCTGGATCGGCTCTATCATAACGTCTAATTCTCTCGAAGACAGAGGTCCTAGGGATTCGGTCGCCTAGACCTCGTCCCCTTCGATTTTCAATTCCATGCCAACGGCTTCTAGGAGTTTGATCGCCTAGATCGCGCTCCCTCCAATTTTCCTTGTCACTCGACCGACTTCTAGGAGTTTGGTCGCCTAGACCGCGCTTCCTTAAATCATTTCTCGTTGAGTTCCTTCCGCTTCTTTCCTTTCTCGGAACAACAATTTTTGATTTCACATTTCGAACGCCTAGTTCATGAATTGGCAATTGGGTTGCCTTCAATGTTTCAATTTCGTTCATTTTCGAACGTTTGGCTATTAACCGGCTCTCAACCTTACCACCTCTCCCCTCCTCGTATTTAGGTAATTCCGTCCTCGGAATTATTTCAAGAACCTTTTTTCCTTTTAATTCTCCTTTTGAGTTCGAACATTTTTCAATTCTTTTCATCAAATTCGGCGGTTTTAGCTTTAACCTTTCATTTTTGTCTCTCATCTTCGAAAGCTTTTTCTTTTCATAAATTCTAGAAATTCTCAATTTTCTACCTTCAAAAGACAATTCATTTAATTCAAACTCCCTCTTAATTGAAGCTGGATCACTAAATTCAATGTAACCAACTCCTTTGCAAAGTCTCGTTTGTTTATTTCGAAGTAAACGGACGCCGGTAATTTTTCCGCATTTAGAAAAGTGAGTCCTAACTGATTCGTCCGCAGTTTTATATGGAAGATTTCCTACAAAAATTGACCTTTTCGTATCAAATTTTCGTTTTTGTTCCATATCAATTCGAAGAAAGTTGCTGTTCAATATTTTACTATTTTTATTGGCAATCTTAGCCTTTTCTTTTCCCCAAACACTTCTTTTTTCTTCAAATTCAACTTTCTTTTCATCTTCTTTCAGATTTTCTTCGAATTTCTTCTCCTTAATTTTATTCAACTTTTCATTCTCTTCCTTTTTATCACTTCCAGCTTTATCTTCAAACACGTTGAGTTCTTTTCCAGTGGATCCTACATCATCAAATTCAGCACTTAATGTTTGGATCCGTGTCTTATAAATGACTCTAACAGCATCAGTGTTTCGATCTCCATTTTCGTTTCCAACCGGGCCTATAGAATTCTTTATAATCTCTGCTTTATCTTCATGTTCGGGAATTTTCTTAAGCTCTTCTTTAAGTTCCAAAATATTTATCCCACAAAAGTTGACATGATTTTCAGGAATTTCGTCGTGGATAGTTATGCAACCGTTTTGAAGTTGATTGCCTGACGGTGGGAGTGCTCTGGTTTGACCATTTCCTCGCCAAACTGCTGTGTTTCGAGATAGCTCCTTAATATTATTTTTGGTATTCAGAAATGTTCTATTGGCTTCAGTAGCAACTGACACGTTATCCTCCACCATATTTTGATTATTTCGATTAGCGAAGCAATCGCGTGCGAGGTGACCTGGCTTTCCACAGTTAAAGCAGGTAATTTCGTTTCGAGGAGAAAAGTTATTATTACGTTGTGAGAATTGCCGGACAGGAGGTTTAGACTGGAAGTTAATATGCCGAGTCGCTTTCTGTGTCGATTCTGCTCTAGCTGCCAGAGACACGAAACTGTCAAAACTCATTCCGTCTTGTCGAGCTATTTCAAGATTGAGTGCCAGGTTTGAGTCACCGATACTTCTTATTAAATGTTTTATTGAATACTCATCCAACAAATTGTTTGTCATCCCTGGGTAAGCTCGTTTGACCAATGATGCAATTCTATTGGCAAGTGAATCGATATTTTCATTCTCCCGTCTTTTAATTCCAGACATGAGCTCGTCGAACGCACAAATTTCTTTTGTGTCTGTTGTTTCAAGAATACGAAGCATTTCGCGTCGAACCGATGAGTAAATAAACGGTGAATTTCCTAACGCGGTATTGAAAGCTCTTTCCGCTCTTCCACTTATTTTAGACTCCAAAGCCTTTAATCGCACAACATCTGATATCCCTTCAGTAGCAGAATCAAATTTTTTGAAAAAAGTCTTAATTTGATCCATACCCTCAGGACCTTTCAAGTCTGGGATTTTGTCTAATGCCCAGGACAAAGACATTCTGTCAAAACTATGCATGAACCCAGCAAAATCTGTTGTGGGTCTTTGACTGTTTTCACTATTGATTGGTGGCTGCGCCACTTGTGTAACAGGCTGTTGGAAATTCTGTTGAGGCTCAGCTTGATGAATATTGTTCATTTGAGGTGGAAAATTTTGCGAGTTATTCGTTGGAATTTGCGAATACTGCATGAACTGTTGGGGATACATGGGCATTAACATAGGAATTTGACAATTTGGGAATTGTGTATACATTTGCTGATTTGGGAACTGCTGTGTCATAACAGGCATGTTCGGAATTTGGAATGGAAAATAAATATTCTGTGGTAACTGTGCTGGCGATGTTTGAGTTTCGTTCGTTCTCAGAACATTTTCTCCCCTTTCACCTTCCACATCAAGAATATCGCCCATTCCTGAATTTTCAATATTAGAAGTTTGATTTTCAGAAGCTTCTAACTCCATTGCTTTGTCTTTTGCCCTATTTCTTGTTAAAACAGGGGAACGGGTTATCATTTAATTCTTTATCGATTACAATTTTGTCTATGCTCACCTAGAGCCTTTGATGAGTTACAAAACAAAAAATCAATTCAAACAGTTTTCAAAATTGTGCCCGCCTAGGGTCTTTTTGTTGAGTCAATTTCTTTGCAGCAAATGAATCGATTGACTGCCAAGGTCAAAATAAATTTAAAATTTTCTCTTCCTTGTTTGCTTCTTTTTGCACCCGCCTAGGGTCTTTTGCAGATTTAAAACAAAGTCGATTTTTCGCCCGCCTAGGGTATTTGTTGAAGAAAATTAATTAAAGTTTTTCACAAAACTTTCTAAAATTAAAAAATTTTTGAGTCGAAGCTCGCCTAGAGCTGTATATGCTCGCCTAGAGCTTTAAATTCAAAAAATAAAAAAATTTGTTGTTGCTCGCCTAGAGCCTTCAAATCAAAAAAAATTCAAAGTCGATCTCGAGACCGTTGAAAAATTTAAGAAAATTTTTCGTCGACAGGAGCGCCACGTGAGAAATAAATTTTGTTTCTCTTATAACTTCTTTTTATTTTACTCTTCTTCAAATTCAAGTCCAAGCCAATTCAAATAAATATTTATTTCGAAGAGGCAATACAATTCAAACCAATAAATTAAATAAATAATCAAAAGGGGGGAATAGCCACAACAAGAAAAATAACAAATGAACGAATTTGGGGAGAGAGAATTTTCTTTTATAGGAACATAAAATGGGATAAAATGTCATTTATTTATTTAAATTAAATTAAAGTCATTTGAGTCTGAGGTTCACCACATTTTAAATATTATTTGTTAGTTATTTAATTTTGAATATTATTTTTAAGAGAAAAATAACAAATTACAAACTTTTAGCAAATAAATCCAAAGCATTTCGTAATTGTTCTATCGACTGGTCTACACGATTTGCACGTTTTTCTAATCGAGCTTTAGTTAAAAAATAAAGAGGATGTTCACGCACACGAAAGTTAAATCCTAGTCCTATATCTAATAATTTGTCAGCCTCATCCAATTCATTTTTCTGCACAAGAATCTAAAGTTTAGAATAGGCAATAATGTATTTTTTTAATAATTTTCTGATCTATTAAATTTTAGAAATTGAATCCAGTCGTCGCAGATTATTTGGCACAGTTTTTAAATTTATTTTAATATTTTGATTAATTACCTGTGCCAAAAGCAAATAAGCCTCAGCATTATCACTACTTTTATTTACACATCCACGCAGTAATTGTTCGGCTACAGACATTTCATTAGCTCCTAACTTTGTCTTTGCCAATAAAAAAGTTGGCTTAATTAAGCCTTAAAAAGAAATAAAATTTTTAAATAAAAAATTGTTTGCCTGGACAGTTTTGATGAACAATACTTAAAATACGATCAGCTACTCTAATAGCTGGAATCCCTACAGAATCTGCGGATTTTAATATTAATTCGGCTATTTCCACTAAAATGGATGGATTCAAAGAGATCAAATTCTCTTCTGAGAAGATTGTATACTATGTAAATAAAAAATAAAATCAAAATAAAATTAGGTATTTACTTGATTATAAGCAAAGTGAACATCTACAGCTATATTTAAATGTGAAAAGACTTGTTCATCCGGCTTATTTTCACGTTTGGCTAATAATGCTAGAAGGAAGTGGAATAGCTTAAAAATTTATATTTTTAAGTATAATTTTAAAAAATTATATAGGTAACTGATTGTTCTTTAACATCAGAATGTGTTTGTTGTAAAAATTCCAATTGTTGATTTATTTCTTTTAATTGTTTATCATTTTGTTGTTCAGCTAATTGGCAACGTATCATTGTTAGAACGGCCCTTTCCCCATTTTGGTTATCCTCATTGTTTAATCCTTTCTCATTTTCAATATTACTGCCTGATTCGACTGCACGTAAAGCTAATTGAAAAGCTTGTCTTATATCCCCTTCTGCTAATGAAAGACTGCTTTTAAGGAGAAGAGCTTGACTGTTCTGACGGATTCCGAGTGCAGCATCAACCAATCTCCTTTACAAAATTAATATTTTGTAATTAATTTATCTTCACAAGATTGTTTAATAAAAAATCCCCTTCCCCTCTCATACTAATTTACATGTCGTCCCAACAAGTTACTTCGCCTGAGTAGTAATATTTTTCCTATCCAAAGCAATAGAAGCTAAAAGACTTCCAATTCGAAGAAATAGACTTTGGTTGTTTGCTTCAGTTAAAAGCATTGCATCAACAAATTCAGCAAGTATTTGTTCTCCTTGGATATCGCCAAGTATTAGATAGGAATAAACAAAATCTAGAAGAAGTATTGGCAAACAATCACTCTGTGAAATAAAATTTTTTATTATACTATTAAACTTTCAAATATTTTACCTGAATAAGAGCTGCCTTTTGACAAATTTCAGCCATTGTTTCCCAATGTCTATTCATTGCTGATGCTTTGGCCAACTCAACATAAGCAGGTAAAACTGAAGAATTTGCATTTAATAAAGAATTTAAAGTAGACTCCATATCAATTATATTTTGCCTTTAATTTTTAAATTATTTTTCCATTCATCTCAGAAAAATATTACCTTATCTTAAAAAGATGAGCTTTGCCTAGGAATGCTTCAACATTTTTATCTAAGGCAATAGCTCTATCAAAACTTTCCAAAGTTGATTGAGAGACTTTTCCTGATAATAATTCTAACCAACCGCGAAGAGAGAGAAACTATAAAATTACTGAATTAATTTTAAATTTTAATTTAACTGAAGAATTTGATTGAGAAGATAATTTATCCAAAAGGGGACGTGCTCTTTCAAATTGCCTATCTAAAAGTAAAAGTGTTGTAGCAGTAAATGCACCTCGTTCGGGTATTTGTTGTGACCATAAAGTTTGGATTTGTCTGTCCAATTCTCGTAATGCTTCTCGATCTTTTAATTTTTTTTTCAAATTATCTTTTATTAAAAATTTAGTTAACACATTTTTCTAATACCCAATATGGCCTGTAAACTTTAAAACAAGTTTCCAAATACTGATAACGATAAACTGCTATGTGGCCTTATTTTTGGCCAAGAAATAAAAAATTTTTAACTTTCAAAACCAACCAATTTTCTTTTCACTACAATGAGCAATTCTAAGGGCGTGTAATGTCGACAGTTTATATTCTGCCATGCTTTCATCCCTTAGCATTGTATTTAACAAACGCATAGCCTCTGAAGAGCGACCTGAAAATTCTTACTTTAATGTTAAATGATTTGCTTCAAATTTTCAGAAATCTGGCATTTTTCTAATTTGGATATGTGGATCTGTTAATAATTTTAGTTGAGGAAAACAAGAAAATAATCAACTAAAAATTTTACTCTTGAGTAATTTAATTTAAAAACTTTAAATATTTTAATTACCAAGCCTAACAATACAAAATGCTCTTAAAGTTTTCCAATGGCATTCTCCCTCTCTACCAACTTCTCTATCACCAAATTCGTCCATTTTTCGTAGAGCAGTGCCAAAATAATCTTCACGGATCCAATAGTGAATTTGTGCTAATGCTGGTGAATTTGCTTCACTCATTTTTCGAATTTTTAAATAAAAAAGGAGTAAATTAATAAAGGAGTAATATCTCAAAATTTTTATTTTGGCTTAAACTTAATTTAATGAATACAAGAAAATATACTTTTTTTTCCTTTTGGTTACTATAGTAACGTTTATTTTATTTTTGTTATTAAATTTTAAAACTAATAAAAAAATTTGAAAAATTAATTAAAAGAAAAAAAAAATTAAAAAATTAAAAAATAAGTTTACTAAATCCTTAAATAATTCTCGTCAAATCCGGCTAATATCTACAGATAACTCTATAATAATTTTTTATCTCTTGTACATATTCTTTCTAGTTTCTCTTTATTATTAAAAAGTTTTGTTTAAAAACTATTTCCTAAAAAACATCTTTTTCATTTTTTAAACAATATTTTAAAATGTTTAAAATCAGACAAACAAATCAATTTTTGTCAAACGTCATCTATCATTATTGGCAATTTATCCAATAATCAATTCAACTCATTTATTTGCCTTTGCTTTTCATTTTATAAATATATTTCTTTGTTAATTATTTATTTACATAGTATTCCTTTGTTAATAAATTCTCGAATTCTTATAAAAATTTCTGCTACATGAACATTCTAGTATGTAAATTCCAACTTGTTAAATGATGAAACTTTTTATTTTTTTACTTCTGATGTTTATTAAAATAAAAGATAAACTTCAATTACAATGTAGGGTTTTATTATTTATTTATTTTTATTACATAAATTAGTTTTACTTACCCAAAAAATTTCCATAACAGTTGATGGAGGAAAGGAATTAAATTTTAAATTATGTAACAGGGAAAGCGGAAGCGGAAGCTTCCATTTTTTATCTGGGGGTCACTTATTGTGATTTCGAAATTAAATTATTCATTTACTTCAATTAATTTATAAACGGAATCAGCTACTTATTTTACTTTAAATAATTCAAAAATAACTTTAACAGTACCCGATGGAATACAACAAGGAATCCCCGATGGAGGTGACGGAGAATTACAAACACCTTTTTGTGAAGTTGAATCTTTGGTTGGTGGAAAGGAAATTTAAAAAAAATAATAATTTTAATTTAAAAAAATATTTTTATTTCAAAGACAGCAAAACAAAAATCAAAACTTAAGAATGAAATTAAAAATAAAATTTATGAGTAAGAATTTAAGAAAAAATAATAAAAATAAATTTTTAAATATGATTTGGTGAAACTAAAATTATAAATTTAAATATTTAAGACAAAAATCTCTACGAAGAAAAAAATATTCTCGAAGTAAAAGATCAACTGTCGATGAAAAAATTAAAGTAATTAATGATTTGGATTTAAAAAAATATATCAGGGATATATCAGGGATATATATATTTTTTATATCAGGGAAAAATAAATCTCCGGTTTTTAGGAGTCGGGACAGCAGGATCCCTAATACGAAATAAATAAATAAATTATATTTTTTTAAGATTTGGAACAATTTAAAGTTGATCAACAAAAACAAGAAAACATTTAAATATTTAATACCCTATAAAGTTATTTCTAAATATGGTAGGTATTTCTAATAATTAAAAAGCGGACTGGATGTGTCCTACGAGAATCGAGATCTCCAAAAATCTCTTTTCGATAACCAATATTTTTGATCGAGATATTGTCTAGGTCCGGTCTCTATACTAATAAATGAAAATTGTTTTATCTGTAAATCTTATTGAAAACGAAATTTAAATTGAAATCAGAATATTCCAGAATCTTGGAAATCTCGGAATTTTTTTTATAAAAATAAATTCGGAATGTATTAAAATAATTGAAATAATAATTGGAAAATTTCAGAAATTAACGTTTATTTTTTTAATATTTATTAAATAAATACTATTTATAAAAATATAAAATTAAAATTAGATAAAGATAAATTCAAAACAGTATTGGATGCAATGGAATTAATCAGTAAAAAGTAAATAATTAAAATTAAAAAATTATTACATATTTTTTAATTTAAGAACTTGTGTTTCCTTTGTTAATATTTATAAAAATTTTAAAAAATATAATAGAAAGGTACATATTTAATTTTAGAAAAAAATTTTGATTTATTTAATTTTTAAGGATCATTTAACTATTATTAATGCGCCTGGGTAAAATTCAAAAATTAATTAAAAATCAAATTTAAATAAAAATTAAAGTTGTCGTTCAGCTATTGGCCGAAATCCAGGACAAAATTTTTTACGTTTAGAATTGGGACAAATAAAGCTAAATCCAAAAACGAAAATGTTGATTAGAAAAACATGTGTTAAACGCCGAATTGTTTTGCACGAAGTAAATTATTTATTTAATATTTATTGGTTAACCAGAATATTTTAAAAAGTTGGCTGTTACAAAAAAATTATAAAATAAATTTAAATAAAAAATTTGGATATTTTAAAATTCAAAAGTCCCTTTAGCATTCTATTAAATTAAAATTAACAATTCCAAATTTAAAAAAAATATTTTTTAGTTACTTCATCTTCTCGGACTTTTCCACGAAGTATTTAAATGAATTATTTTATAATATTTTTAATTAAAGCATCAACGTTCTGACAGAGATAAATATTTAAAAATAAATTATAAAAATATTCGAAAAGGTTATTTTTTATTTAAAAATGTAAAAAATATTTTCAAAAAAAATTTTAGATAAAAAAATAAATTTTGTTAAAGTAGAAAATGATGTAACTTGGGGGCTACCTTACAATTATGATGTAATAAAATTTTAAAAAATTTTTTAATTTAAAAATCTTTTTTGTAGTCAATAATGAATTATCGAGTAAATGCTTTTGCTAAAAATCCAAAAAGTAAAAAAAATTTTTAAAATAAATATAAATAAAAATTTTATAGATTTAACTATAAAAATAAAGAATGGTAATCGTTCATGTAAGGTAAGAATTTTTTAAGGATTATTTGTATTTTTAATCCTTTTTTAATAAAATAAATTATAAAAACAGCTAGGAATGGGAACACATGAACATGCTTCTGAATTAGACTTTTTATTGGTTAATCTGCTTTATAATTGTCCAGGTGTTGAAGAAATGGTTGACAATTTTGTTGACAAACATTACTTTACTAAAGTAAAATTTAGAAAAAAATAATTTAATTAAATAATATAAATTAGAAAATAAAATGTGATTTAACAAAAAAAAAATTTTTTTTAATTTTCTCAATTTTGAGATTTTCCATTTTTTAAAAAAATAATTAAAAGATTAATCGGATATAGTGTAGTGTACCGGTGGTAAAAGTTCGGGACGTGACATATGTCATTCGATTCGTCTCGACGAGCTGAGTCGAACGGTACAACTCTCAACTTTAGGAAATCATTCTGGGCCGAGTTATAGGTCCCGAAAAATTGAAAAACCATAGGGGGGAGTAAGCTCGATTTTGGGTTGAAAAATTCGAATATGCAAATAATAGCTCATTCGAAAGAGCTCGTCGAGCTGAGTCGAATGATACCAAAATCAGCTTGATTGAACAAGTTGGAGTCGAGATATAGGGCTCGAAATGGTCAAAACCCATAGGGCGGATTTTAGGGTCAAAAATTCGAAAAAGCATGTAATAGCTCATTCGAAAGAGCTCGTCGAGCTGAGTCGAATGATACCAGAATCATCATGATTGAAAGAGTTTGGATAAAGTTACAACAGAAAAACAATCAACATAAACCTATGGGGCGTCGGCGAGGCGCTTGTGCAAAACCCCGCGCTTCGCGCGTGGTTTTGCGGCACGCGCCTCGCGGGGAGTCTACGGGCGATGGGTCTGGGCTCGTAACATAAACCTACTCCCATCTCCCTTGCTCTGAATGTACTTGGGGCTCCAGTAACAGCAAAAACCTGCACGTAGACCAAAGGTAAGGAGCTAAAACAAATGCTCATAACTTTGTCAAATCAAGTCAGATTTCGTTGATTTTGGTATCATTCGACTCAGCTCGACGAGCTCTTTCGAATGAGCTATTATTTGCATATTCGAATTTTTCACCCCAAAATCGAGCTTACTCCCCCCTTAGGTTTTTCAATTTTTCGGGACCTATAACTCGGTCCAGAATTATTTCCTAAAGTAGGGAGTGGTACCATTCGACTCAGCTCGTCGAGACGAATCGAATGACATATGTTACATCCAGAACTTTTACCACCGGTACACTACACTACAGCCGATTAATCACTAAAATATGTATATTTAAATATGTATTTTTATATATTTCTCTAAAATTTTTAGCCATCAAAACATCATCACCACCACCATCACAAAACTCCAAAATCAAACAAATTAGAATTAATAGAAAAAAGTTTAGAAAATGAATTGAAAGAATGGAATAAAAATGAAATAAAAAATAAATTAAATAAAAATAAAATAAAAAGAAAATCTAAAAATAATTTAAAGAAAAGGAATAAACAAAAGAAAAAGAAAAGGAAAAAAGGTAAAAGAAATAGGAAGCATTAAGAGAGTTTGGGCAAAATTCGAACAAAATTAATTAAAGATATATATAAAATCATATCCGGTTGTATATATGGAGATTTTATTTAAAAAATTAAATATATTTGCTTTATAATTATCCAAGTGCTGAAAAATCATATTCAGTTGTAATACCTAATTGATTTTTGTGTGAAAATTAAATTTTTAATTATTTACTTTTTCCGAACTTTACAAGCTATAAATCTATATTTATAACTCTATTAAAGTTAATTTTTAAATAAAAAGTTATTTTATTTAAATATATTTTGATCTCACATTAAAAGTTCTCCGCTATCCTCGCAAGATAGAGCAATAAAGTAGAGTTAAGCGGTATCGGGATTTAGAGAAAAACCCGGGATCGGGATTTAGGAATGGTGATCCCGATCCCGATCCCGGATCCCGACACGGGATCGGGATTGGCCGAAATCGGGATCGGGATTTGGACTGGAGATCCCGATCCCGGTCCCGATCCCGAATCGGGACCGGTATTGAAAAATCGGGATCGGGATTTACTAAAAAAAATTTTCAAAATTTTTAAATTTTTATTTTCTTCACATACGACTCAGTATAATTCTAAAATTGCCACTGCGGTGCTAAAATATTGAGTTTAAGTATCATAGGCAAAATTTTTTAATTTTGGAAGGCCTAGGGCATTCAATTCTAAACGTTCAAGTCTATACAATTAAGCGCGTTACGTTCAAATGGGGACGATTACGAACTGAGATTGAGACTTCTATACTCCAAATCCACGGATCCTCCCTCTTGATCCCTCGATATCACACCAAATCATCAATATTTCGTTAAAGTTGTAAAGACAGCTTTGTTCATTTTTGCGTCGCCACAGGCGAAAATTTTGAGAATTTTGGATGTCAAGAAGCCAAATCTCTTCCCTTTTCCGCGCCGCAGGCGAAAATTTTTCTCACTTTCATGCCTCCCCTCTTTTGTTAACTTTATTTCACAGACTTCTAGTCAATTTATAAAGTCGGGATTTGCATCGGGATCTGATGCACATCCCGATCCCGATCCCGGATCCCGGCTCGGGATTGAGATTGGCCGGGATCGGGATCGGGATATATATTTCGGGAGCGGGATCAGAAAAATCGGGATCGGGATTTGAAAAACCCGGGATAATTCCGCCCGATCCCGACCGGGATCCCGATCCCGCTCAACCCTACAATAAAGTGGACGCATCTCAACGGAAACGGATCTCTGCAGAGAAAATTTGAATGTCCCTAATAATAAAAAAGTTTCCCCAAATTATGTCAGCTTCCCTGGACGATTAAACAATGAAAAATAATTAATTAAAAAATCATTAAAATTTACCTAAATTCTCTTCACAAATCAATTAATATAGTACAAAATTGTTTAAATATTAATTATTTAAAATGATGAACTTTTATTAAATATCTACATAATTTATTTTTATGTGAGAATTTAATTTTTATTTGTTTAATTTTAAAATAATATTGAATATTTTAGTTTTATTATGATTCTTATATCCAATTTTTTACCAATTTGTTTTAATTATTTTCAATTTTTTTATTTATTCAGCTTTAACAATAAACTAATTGAATTCTTCCTTTATCATTAAAAACAGAACCTATTCCCAATCAAACATTTTCCATTATAATAGGTGGTTGTTTAGGAAATTTAATTTTTAAATTAAAAATAATATTCATTTTCAACTTTACATTCGACATTTTTAAAATAATTATTAGGTCAAACCAGTTACATGATTCTGAGCTACAGCAGTCAAAAATATCGTCAAGTTATCATGCATATTTCCATAAAATTTCAATTAATTTATTAGATTATATTTTAAAATTATTTCTGAACTTTACATGTTGCAACAAATTTGTATTCTGGAAAATTTTTTGTGACATTTTATTAGAACATATTGTTCTAATTATTTATTTATTAGAACTCCCATTTTATATTTTTTAAGCTTTTATTAGATCATATTGTTCTAATAAAACATAGTATTTTAATTCAAGTTTTTATATTCTAAAATATTTACAATAAATCAAAAAAAAGGAAAAACTCCCATTTTATATTTTCTGAAAAACCAAAAAGTAAAAAACAAAAAATTTTTTTATCCAAAATAATTAAACAGATTAAATATTCGTTAACCAAAATTTTTTGCAGCTTTATTTTACACGTTATTATTGTTTAATAAATAAATAAATATACTTACCAATAGATATCATCATTATTTTCTTTTTATTTGTGAAATAAATAAAAACTTCATTAAATCGAATTTAAATTTTATTTTATAGACAGAATTTAAATTATAATACGATTTTTATTTTTAAATAATTTTGTTTTGTTTTTGTGATGATATATTCTCACCTAGTCTTTTTGTATTTTTCATAATTTTAAATTTTTATAAAAAAAACCCCCTCAAATTTCTTTCATCGTATTCGACTCGGGATTATGATCAGTTATTTTTCCATTTTTAATTTTTTGAATTTTGATTTTTAAAGTAACAATTATTTATATTAAATTTTTTTATAATTTGACAACATACATATTTAAAAACCAAAAAGTTTCAGCATCTTAATGACCATAAAACTAATTTTTGTTTAATAATTTTTAACATTTTCTTCTCTTTACACTAATTAGGATTATTATTATTTTCTAACAAATTCCGAAAACATTCGTTAAATCTTTTTAGAAAATGAATAAGAACATTGAAAATGACAGAAAATCCGGCAAAATTATTTGTATTTTAATAATTATTTTAATCACTCTTTCATATTTTTTATACATTCATTATTGTAATCAATTAATTTTCACGTCAGAAGAATATTTATCTTCAAAACCTGGGTGGCTTAAAAAAGAGGTAAACAATTTTGGGAAAAATCTAGACAAACAGTGAAAATCCCCCATACTCCCATATTACCCAAAACTAACAAAACAAAAAAAAACATGCAAAAACTTTTGGAGGAAGAAAGGAGGGGCAAAATTAAAAATTATCGAAATAATTATAGCCAGAAAAAAATATTTAAAAAGTCTACAAAATTCAAGTAAAAAATTATTAACTAATCTAATACCTTCAAACTAAATCTGATAATTTAATAAAAATGCATATAAGATTTATTTTAGAGCATTCCTATGAAATGGCCACAACCACTTATTCTTATGTGGAATACTTATTATGGTGAAAATTTTTTGAAATATTGGTCGATAAACAATTTAACTGAACAATGCCCTTATAAATGTCATTATACTGATGATAGAAACTTGTGAGTTTTTATGTCACTTCCATTCAAAAATTCATTTTGTTCCGAGGATAGGTATTAGCGTTTACCTAGTTTAAAATTGTAAAAAGTATTTAATTAAAAAATATATTTTAGAGAAAGAAATGCAACAGTTTTGTTTTTCCACATTCGGGACAAAGTTGATCCTTTTCCCAAACAACGATCACCAAAACAATTATACACATTTTTTGTGATTGAATCTCCGCCTCACACTTGGGATTGGGGAAGATATTTTCCTCGAAATTTTTTTAATATTACAATGACATATAGATCTGATAGTGATGTTAATGTGCCTTATGATATGTTTGAAAGTTATAATTTAGAGGATGTAAAAAATGGAAGAATAAATTTAAATGAAATTTGGACTGAGAAGGAGGTGATTGATAAAAAAATGCTTTTAACTTAAACTTGCTTAAATTAACAAATTATTTTTAGTTTAAAATTTTATTTTTTAAAGATGGATAGTAAAATTGACAAAAAAGAGAAGCTAACTTTACAATTTGTTTCTAATTGTAAAACAAATTCAAAACGGGAAAAATATATTGAAGAATTGAAAAAATATACAGAAATTACACAAATGGGTGGGTGTGTTGGAAAAAATGATTGTGGGCGTGAATGTGAGGATAAATTAATTGGTATGTGGAAATTAGCTAAAATTAATTTGTTAATTTAAAAAAATAAATATTTATTTAATTAATAGTTTGGGTGTTTGTACATATTTTTCTTGTATGTTTGTAACCAATTTTAAAACAAAAAAAGTCTTATAAACTTGATAATCTGAGCCAAATGACCGAAAATTGGCTATAGGAAATCTTAATTGCACAGTAGACCCCTTTTTAAGTTACACATTGATAAATTATTGCAATATCCAAAGACTTTTAACCTTTAAATTTTCAGATTCCCATTTCTTTTATTTGGCCTTCGAAAATTCTGTTTGTGATGAATATTTGTCAGAAAAGTTTTGGAGAATTAAGAGTTTGATTGTCCCTGTAGTTTTGTCAAGAAAAATTTTTAAGAACGAAACTATTCCGAAAGACTCATTTATTGCAGCAGATGATTTTGCAACTCCAAAAGAATTAATCGAATATTTAAAGACTGTAGCAGCAGATAAAAAATTATATAAAAGGTAAAATAGCTTTAACAATTATTCCTCATTATAGGCAAATTAAGTTTTTAGACTTTAGAATAATTTTAAATAAATCTTACAAATTATTACAAAGCTAAAAACAAGTTTGTAGATAAGTTTAGATTTTTAATAAACCTAAAATGTTTGGAAAAATATACAAAATTAAATATATTTAACGATAAATTCCAGTTATTTTAATTGGACAAAAAAATTTAAACGAACAAAATATGCAAAAGAATTTTGGAATCCAAATTGTAAACTTTGTACTTCTTTACAACCTTTTTGTGATCTTTGTAAATTAGCACATACAAACAAAAAAGAATTGAGAATAAATAATATTTATGCTTTTTGGGATGGAGGAGGGAAATGTTTACATGGTTATGCTGAAAATGTTCTTTTAAATTAAAATTTTATAAATTTTTTTTAAATACGTGTATGAAATACTCCGGTGCACTCCTCACACCGAATTTCAAGTTTGGTGTGACGAGATTATTTTTTTTGAATTTTTAGATCACGATATTATTTATTTTCTTATTCAAAATTAATTTATGTTTGATTTTATTCAGAATTATTTACACCAATTCTTTTAATTAAAACCAAAAACAACAAAATTTAAACTAAAAAACAGAATTTTTAATTATACACATTTCTAAAATATTTTTTTATTTCTTTTATTTATTATTGTAAATATTTCTATATCTATTTATAACATTTACTCTTTTCATTTACATAATTTTTAAAAATAACTTCAAGTTGCTTTAAGTACTTCATCTTTAATCTATAAACTTTCATTTTTTAAATATATTTCGGTAAATGTCTTGTTCGAGTCGGGCCGACTTTTTCCGAGACAATTTTTTTCGGGCCTGTTTTTATCGAGTCGGGCCGGTACGAGTCACTTTCGGGCCTAACTTTATCGAGTCGGGCCGTTACGAGTCTTTTTCGGGCCCAACTTTATCGAGTCGGGCCGGTACGAGACTTTTTCGGGCCAAACATCGAGGCATGACTCGATCTTTCGGTCCGAGTCGGTCCATTTTGGCAACCCTATTCCTAACGCCAAAAATGCAAAGAGAGTGAAGAAAAGTGCGCATTCTCTTTGCGGACATGTAGGGAGTCAACTGGACATTTACCATATATTTCTCACAACTTTTCCCAATGTTTGTACAAAAGATAAATAAAGTTTTTAAATTCTAATTGATAAAAACAATTTTTTATTTTTTTATTATTTAATTTTTTTTAATTTTAATTTTAATTAATTTTATTTCATTATTTTTAATATTTAATTATGTTTATTTTAAATTAAAAAATAATATTTAAAATGTATATATTTATATTCAAGAATTTTATTGGGGGAAAGTGTTTGAGACAAAATTTTGAATTTGTAAAATTAACAAAAAAAAATTACTAAAAAATATTTTAGTTATTTTTATATGTAAATTAACTAAATTTTAATTAAAAAAATATTTTAATGATTTTATTTTTTATTTACAAATTATGTTTTAGTCTTTTATTTATTTGACAGCTTTTAGAAAAAGGGATGAATAATTTAATTACGAAATTTTATTTTTATTACAATTTTAATTAAATCCCCAACTATTTAAAGTTAACAATTTCATCATTTATTTTTTTAATTTAAAATATTTAATATTCATAGACAGCAAATATGTATGTATATTAATATTCAAAACTTTAGAAGAATATATTTATTTATTTTTAAATAAATTCAATTTTACTTTAAAATTTAAAATGTTTTTAATATACAAATAATTAATACAAAATATGACTAAAATTATTGTAAATAATTTAGTACAATTTAATAGAAAAATTTTGATTGTCATTCCCTTTTTATTATCAATTTTTTATTTAATATATATTCTCTGTTGTAATCAAATAGTAATATTTCCATCATGTAAGAATAATTTACTTAAAAATCCTAAATGGATTAAAAGAAAGGTGGGAATTTTATTTTAACTTTTAAGGCTTGTTTTTACGTGTACTTTCGGGAAAATATTATGCCTGATACGATCTTTCGGACCGAGTCGGTTTATTTTCGGCAGTACTGCTTAAGTTACACAAATACTTTAGTGATTAGACAAATACTTTAGTGATTTCATGACTGTGTTGATTTAATTAATGATCTCTATAAATTATACGAAAAGGAAACTCGTACTCGATTTAGTTTTTATTCAAATTATAATTTCCCGACAAAATTCCCCCCCCCCCCCTAAATTAAATTAATTTAAAAAACATTTTCCGTTTAGAGCATTCCTATAAAATCGTTACCACCTCTGATTCTTATTTGGAATACTTTCTATGGAAAGAATTTTTTAAAATATTGGTCGATAAATAATTATTCTTCAAAATGTCTTTATAAATGTCGTTATAGCGATGATAGAACTTTGTGAGAGTTTTAAATATAAATTATAAAAAGAATGAAATCTCTTTTTTAATCCTTCATTTTTTCTCAAATTTTTACGTTTTTAATTCTTAACAACTTTAAACTCTTATAATTATTGCTAAAAATTGCCTTAATTTTCAAGAGAAAATAACGCATCTGTATTATTCTTTCACATTCGTGATAAAATAGATCCATTGCCAAGCCATCGAAAACCTCACCAATTATACACATTTTTTGTACTCGAATCTCCAGTCCATACATGGTTTATGGGAAGATATTTAGAGCCAAATTTTTTTAATATTACAATGACATATAGATCTGATAGTGATGTTAATGTGCCTTATGATATGTTTGAAAGTTATAATTTTGAGGATTTGGACGATTGTACAATAAGTTTAGATGATATTTGGACTGAGGATGAGGTAATTAATTTAATAAGTATTTATTAAAAATTTCGTCAAAAATCTTATTAATAGTCAAACCTAACTACCTACACTTATTGTTAGTATAAAATTGTACAGTTTAGCTAACGATTTTCCAATCTTAAAATGGTATATCAAAGTGAGATTCAACTTTACATTTAATTAAATTCTTTTAAAGATTGATAGTAAAATTGCCAAAAAAGAGAAGCTAACTTTGCAATTTGTTACAAATTGCAATACAAATTCAAAACGGGAAAAATATATTGAAGAATTGAAAAAATATACAGAAATTACACAAATGGGTGGGTGTGTTGGGAAAAATGATTGTGGGCGTGAATGTGAGGATAAATTAATTGGTAATAATTAAATAAAGAATATAATTTATGTATATAATTTTTAATGAATTAAGAAAAATATTTTGTAAAAACAAAGTTAACAAAATTATAGTTTTTTATTCAAAAATAATTTCCAGATTCCCATTTCTTTTATCTGGCCTTCGAGAATTCTGTTTGCGATGAATATTTGTCAGAAAAGTTTTGGAGAATTAAAAATTTGATTGTGCCTGTAGTTTTGTCAAGAAAAATTTTTAAGAACAAAACTATTCCGAAAGACTCATTTATTGCAGCAGATGATTTTAAAAGTCCAAAAGAATTAGCAAAATTTCTGGAAGATGTAGCAGCAGATAAAAATCGTTATAAAAGGTAAAAAATTATTCGAAAAGAAGCAGGCAAGCGAGCCAAACTTAAAAAATATTTTTACAATTTTTGGAAAAATTTACAAGGCTATATGTATTAAAAGATTTTAAAACAAATTTTAAAGAAATATAAAACAGAAAAAATACATTTGGCAAATGTTTTTTTAACAAAAAGTTTTAAACATGTCTAAATTTACAAATTCAAAAACATAAATTAGTCCAAAAATGTTAGAAATTTTCTTAAAAATAAATTTACAATGTTGCTTTATAATTTTATTTTACATTTTAATTATTTGCATATATCAAACATTAAATTCCAGTTATTTTAATTGGACAAAAAAATTTAAACGAACAAAATATGCAAAAGAATTTTGGAATCCAAATTGTAAACTTTGTACTTCTTTACAACCTTTTTGTGATCTTTGTAAATTAGCACATACAAACAAAAAAGAATTGAGAATAAATAATATTTATGCTTTTTGGGATGGAGGAGGGAAATGTTTACATGGTTATGCTGAAAATGTTCTTTTAAATTAAAATTTTATAAATTGTTTTGTACTTAATACTCCGGTGCATTTACTAGTATAAATTATATTGTTAAGTTTTATCAAACAGCATTTTTTGGATGGAATTTAGGGTTATCGCTTTATATCTGTTTTTCTCGGAATTTCTGGCTTAGGATTTTTGGTGACCCTGGTTCCGGTTATTTTTTTTAAACGACACAAAAAATATTTTACCAGAAATTAAAAAAAATTTTTTTTTGCCCAGATAGTTACATTAATTTTATTAATATTTTGTTAGATTTTCATTGTATTATTTATAATGCCGTTATAATATTATTTTTATTAGATATGTGTAAATCTTTTTTAATAAGTTGTGGCATTTGAATTGTTGAGTTTGTAGGTGGAGGGCGAATTCTAATACGCATAGGAGGGCCTCCAAGTATTTTACTAAAAAATTATTAATTAAAAACAAAAATTTTTCAATAAATTTCCCTACCCATCAAGTAATAATTTTTGTTGTTGTTCATTAGGCAAAAACTCCATTTTACGTCTAGGAGGAGGTGATAATCGCCCTTTAGTTCCAATTAACGGGAAAATATTTGAAGAATTATTATTATTAACACGTGGAAGTGTTGATCTACTAGTAGTATTTAATTGGTATTCTTCAAAATTATTTAAAATATTATTTGTTTCCATACAAGAAGATGGCCGTCCAATTAATGAAACTGTTGAGGTATTAATAGATGAACGTTGTTGGGGTTCCTTAAATAAATATGAAATGAAGATAAGTTGATAATATAAAGGGGATTTTGTGTTATTTTTCAAGTTTATCCAAGAAAAATTCTTTCTAATCTCAACTATTAATTTCTAAGGTATATTAACGAGAAAAAGATTCAATTTTTCGGCCGGAAATATCTTTACTTTATATGTATATGTACTACTAAAATCTCATAATTCTAGTAACAACCAACACTTTAATTTAAAATTAAA